CCTAATAGTGGTATTGCTAGATCAAAGGATGTACATGGTTTTATTGCCCTTTGGGCATAGTTCCAAATTGCTTTACAGAATGGTTGAATCAGTTCACAACTCCACCAATAGTGAATTAAAGCCTTATTTTCTCCACATCCCCTCCAACATTTGTCATTTACCTTTTCTGTCCTATTAGCCAATCTCATAGGTATGAGGTAGTACCTCAGAATTGTTTTAATTTGCATTTCTCTAATGAGTACATATGATTGTTGATAGCTTGGATTTCTTTCTTTGAAAACTGCCCTTTCATGTCCTTTGACTACTTTTTACTGTTTCCCAGAGAAAGAAAGTCGGGGTTCAGGTCATTAGCCCCTTGTTTATCTGCCAGCTGGCCCTGATTCTAGGGTTAAGTGTCCTTTGCATGCAGCTGAAGGAGCCCACATGCCCAAGTCCTCTTCCTGGACCTGCCTGAATTGTCCCTGTATTTTTAGCTCAAGCCCCCACCTCATCTCCAGAATGATGGCCTAGCTCTTAAAGGAGAGAAAGAGGGCATTAGAGAGAAGTAATGTAGGCAAACGGGCCTTTCTGTTCACAGTCTCAGGGGTAGAAGGAGTAGCCAGAGATTGAGCCTCTTCCACATGTCAGTCCTTTGAGTATCTCCAACACAGTTTTCCTTCCCCACTTCCTCTCACTTGTCTTTTCTCTGGGTAAGCATCCCAAATTCTTTCCTCTGCTCTCTGTGTGGCATGGTATCCAGCCACCCTCCTCTGGGTGCTGTCCGGCTTATAAATGTCCATCTCAAAGTATGGCATCTAGGACAGAAGATAGGCTTTAGATGTGGTTTGACCATGGGCACAGCATAGCAAAACCGTCACCTCCTTCTCTCTAGATACTTTGCTTCTATTAACAGCCTAAGATAGAGCCTCCTGGTTGACTCAGTGAACTTGGGGGGCCTACTCAGTTAGGTACAAGTTGGACAGGACTGTTCCTTCCTAAGAGAAGAGCTGGGAGAACAGGCCTGGTAGCTGTCTTCATGGATGGGAAGGGCTGTCATGTGGAGGAGGGGCTAGGCTTGTTGTGTTTGGCCCAGAGGCGGAACCCAGAGCCATAGGGAGAAGTTGAGTCAGGGAATAATTTTCTAACTCTAAAAGGAAAATGGGCTACCTTAAGGGGTGCTCCTGCTTGGAGGTCTTCTAGCGAAGGGTCAATGAATCCGCAGATTGTTATACTTAGAGGGGGATTCCTGTTTTTGGTACTTTATTACTCCACCTCCAAGTCTGGTTATTTTGATTGGCTGGCCCTAGGCCTAGAATTCTCTTTCGCCTCGTCTTTGCCTTCTCGACTTCTTCCAAGTTCCAACTTCAAGAAGCCTTTTCCCACCACCACCTCCCCCTCATGCTAGTGCCTTCTTTCTGTTGGTTATTGCCAATTTATTCTGTATATAGCTTGTTTATCTCCCCTGTGGCCCATTAGACTGGGAGCTCCCAGAGGGCAGGGGCTATTTATTCATTTGTTTGGCTCTCTATGGCTCATTTTTAAACCCAAATGTAAGATTTTATTCGACAATCTGATAGTTATCAGTTCCTGGAGGGGCTTTTATATGGAGGGAGCTTGCTAGCTGTTTTCTGTCTCCACTGAATAGGCAAAGGGGTGAAATTTGGGCAAGAAAGATTGAGGTTAGCCAGACAGAAGAGTGTTGGGGTGAACCATTTGCACATGTTAGAGGGAAAGTGCAGCATTTTTTTTGGGGGGGGTAAGGGTTATATAACAGGAGAACCACCCTCTTCAGGCATGTTAGTAGAGGAACAGCTTTTTCTAGAAGGTCCTAATCAGAGTTGTGCTGGTAAATGTTTAACAACCAGCTCTCTGTGTGTGTGTGTGTGTGTGTGCGCGCGTGTGTGTGAAGTTTCATCTGCATTATTCACATTTTCCCCACCACTTTCTTAAGTGTAGATACTCGACAGAACAGTCAAGCCCGGATGGACACCATGCCGATTTCGACGTGTAACTGTCTGCACTGAAAATTTAACAATGAGCTCCATCACACCATTCTGTGATTCAATAGTCATTGATGTTTAGATTCCTAGAATTTCAAAGAAACAGTTTCATTAAATTTTTTTTTTTACTGATAGCTTCTTTTACTTCACCTTTATTTCCAACTATATCAGCAGGAACACTTGTTTTATTTTAGTCTTCATTTGTAGCAAGAGCAAAAGAATTCTGGGTTTTGGGTCAGATGACCTGGGTTCAGATCTTAATTTCTTGCTACTTTTGTGACTTTGCAAGTCAGTTCATCTCTCCAAGCGTCAGTTTCCTCCACTGTCCATTGAGGGGCCTCCCAGTTCCTTTCCAGCACTGGCTAGATCTGTGACCAGCAATTGGGAGATTTGGCTTCCAGCCATGTGTGACTATGGAAAAGCCTCTGGTTTAGGCCTCAGGTTCCTTGCCTAATACGAGTACCTAATAAAGTACCTAAGAGATACTCTAGGACTCTAGGCTCCTTCTCTCTCGTTCTGGTAATCCACATGCTAAGAGCTAGAAGGGACTTTAGAACATAAGCCATAGAATGTTGTTGTTGTTTTAAAAATGTTTTTCTTTATTTTCTCTCAATTGCATGTGATAATAATTTTTAACATTCATTTTAAAAAATTTTTGTTTATTCTAAGCTCCAAGCTCAGACGTTCTGTGTTCTAAAGTCCTTTCAAGCATTGGCATTCTATGTTCTAAAGGCCCTTCCATCTTGGATATTCTACATCCTAAAGTCCCTCTCAGCTCTGCCAGTTTATGATCTTCATCTGAAACTCTGGGCACTGTCTCTGGATCTGGGCATCCCTGGGCAATCTTTTTTGGTGAAAGGTTTTGTGACGCTTATTTACCATTCATGGAAGTAAATACATGTGCGCGCACACACATATCCTTATATGCTCTGATACCCACACCATCTAACAGTAGGCCAGCCTCGAGGAATGATTTCCTTCCTGTTGATTCCATCTGCAAAGGCCTCTACTTTGGAAGCTCAATGAATGAATGAATGACAAGAAAGGAAGGAAGGAAGGAAGAATGGAAGCATTTTATTAAATACATTGAAAGAAAAGAAAGAATTTATTAAATATATGGAAGGAAAGAAAGGAATAAATAATTTTATTAAATACTTATAATGTTCCAAGTATGGTGCTAAGTCTGGGGATAGAAATATTATTTTAAAAAAAGCAATCCAGGCTAACCACAAAACCTTCCCGGGCCTGTCCAAGCATCCTCCATCCATCCTAGAGATCACATCTGTCTGTGACCTCTGCCTCAATGTCTCTGTTACTCTTTTCCGATCCATTTCCTGACCTTGTCCTCCTCCCACCCCCATCCCCTCCCCAACACCTCCCCCCTCCGTGGCTGCTGCCCGACTTCTCAGAAATACTGTCTTGTCTTGTCTGTTAGTCCTGGCTGCCAAGATCCCATCCTGGATTTCCTTTGGAGGGAGGGTATGGAAGAGAACGTTCTTCCGGTCTTGGAAAAAGTGATCCCTTCTCTCTGGGAGGCCACGCCTGACCCACCAGAAGGGCCTTGACCTTGGCAGTGGTGGGGCCATCATAGCAAGACTAGGTTCTGGGGGTGGGGAGGAGAGGAAAGGAAATGCTTTGGGATGGATAGGGCCTCCATCCCCAGGGGGGATGTGTGGCCAGCAGGGGAGAAGCAATCTTCTGGCTCAGGGTTCCACAGCCAGGGCCAGCTAAGGAGACCAGAGATACATACATACATATAATAATAGTGGACAATATATGGTTGTATATGTAATCAAAGGTTAATTTCTGCTGTTTTAACTAAATGCTGGGGGGAAAAAAAAAAAGAAATCACCATGGTCTGGGGTGGGCAGGAAACACTGCCTAGGGTGGATAGGGTTTGAGCAGGGCCTTGGAGGATGGGGAAAATTTGAAGGGTGGGGTGGGAATGGGGATGGGACTGTATCCCCAGACCAAAGGTATAGCCATGATCATGATATATATGGTAGACAGTAAAATCAGCCTGACGGGAGGGAGGGAGAGAGATGGGGCGGTGGGGAAGGAGTCATGCATGGGAGATAAAGTTGGACCCAATTAGAGAAGTCTCTGAAAGACTTGGGAAAGAGCTGAAAGTTGATTCCCTAGGCAATAGGGAGCCATTGATAGTTTTGGAGCAAAGGGAGTGGTAAAGAGAGTTTTATCTAAGGTCCCAGACCTTAGATAAAACAGGTAATTAGATATTGTGAGGGCTACATCCACTTCCATCTGTTCTCAGCTTTCCTGGATTCCTAGTGACCTTGGAAGAAGGATCTTGATCAGAGCTCAGATACAGTCTCATATGGTCCAAATGATTATTAGGGGTCCAGCTTTCCTCCCCCCTCCCCCCAATCCTCTCTATCCTTACCTCATTGGTCAACATCATAGACATTGGCCTGAAATAGGAGAAACTAGGAGAAATCCAATGCTAGAGTATTTTCCATTCCTGGTTGGTTTGTTTGTTTGTTTTTAACTACTTGCTTATTGGGTAATTTTATTTTTAAAGAGGTCGGACCTGTGGGTGATCCTACTGTCCATGCCTGTTTTGCTATCTGCTTCACTACAGGGAAGTGTATGAGGGAAAGGACATGGGCTTTGTAGCCAGAGGTCCTGGGTTCAAATTCTGCTGCTGCCTGTATGACCTTTAGCAAGTCATTTCTCCTCCCTGGGCCTCAGTTTCCCTAATCTGTAAAATGAGGGGATTAGACTAGATGGAGGAAACTGAGGCCAAGGAAGGTGAGGTTGCCCATAGGGTCATAGCTCTAGAGCCGGAAGAGACCAAGTGTTCATTTTATAGAGGGGGTCCTTTCAGAGGCCCAGGCCTAAGAAGATCACATGGGCATTCAGTGACAGAGTCAGGATTTGAATCTTGTTCCTGCCTCTTTCTGTGTGCTTGAATTTGTCCTCTCAGCTCACCTGCTGAAGGGGCAGAGGCTTGACCATCCCTCCCTCCCCCCAACACTGGCTTTCTTTTTTTCTCTCTTTCAGAAATTGAGGCTAAGAAGGCTTGTGACTGGCTGCGTGCAGCGGGTTTTCCCCAGTATGCCCAGCTCTATGAAGGTAAAGGCACCTTTGAGGGCCCACTGGAGACCACCTCCCCTCTGGCCCTGATTTTCCTGTGCTTGTGTGCAAGGGGGCACAAAGCTCAGGCAGGAAGCTGAGGGGCCAGCATCTGGGGGATGGGTGCCAGCTTGGACCACATTAGAAAGTGGCCTGAGAAGTCCCATCTCATATGCAACTATGACCGTGGAAGGCTGAGGTAGGTGACATGAGGCTCTCTACCATCCCCTGTGTGAAGGGCTGGAGGCCTGGAGCCTAGCTGGCTGACTCTGGAACTTGGACAGGCTAAGGGCCCAGGCCACTAAGCTCCCATGCTCCAGATGTGGTGACATCTGGGACCAAGGCCTGATCTCTCACCTGTGCTTCTGGGGCCAAGGGGAAGCCCAGGACACAAGAGGGTTCCCTCCCCACAGAGCCTCCAAGAGGCAAGGGAGCTGACAGACCCATGGCCCAGCTTGGCCCAGTTTCACATTCCCATCCTGAAATTCCTTAAGGAATTCCTAGAAAAGTAAGCAGACACCAGGGACTGTTTGTCTGAAGGGTTCACTGACCATGTCGGGGTCTTTCAATACAGGCAGTCTATGTTCTGGGATCCTCCCCTCCCCAGGCTCTGACACTGTCTCCGTTCTGGGATCCCCCTAGGCTCTGACACGGTCTACTTTCTGGGATCCCTCCCTCCCAGGATCTTGCAGAGCCTGCTTTCTGTGCTTCCCCTCTGCCCCCAAACTGGTCCTGAAAGTTTTGTGGTTCTCACTGTGGCTCTTCTTTCCCCAGATTCCCTTTTCCCCCTGGATATCACCTCTGTGAAGAAGGACCATGGCTTTCTGGACCAGGATTCCCTGCGTGCCCTCTGCCGGTAAGGGTAGCTGGAGAAAAGGCCCCAATTTTCATTCTGAGCTGAGGGGTGCTGAGGGTGTCAGTGCCAACAAAGAGGGGTTGGCATCAGAGAGGGGCCAGGTGGATGAGTCCTCGTCTTCTTCACTCCTCCTTTGTAGGAGACTGATGACCCTGAACGCCTGCGCCTCGATGAAACTGGAGGTTCGCAGTCAGCACAAACCGGTGAGGCAGGGCCCCCGACAGGGCCCACGGGGAAGGTGGGGAGTGCCTAGCAAATGTGCTGCTTGGGAATCCTGGTTGGGTAGGGGGGCCCGGGGAGGTATGGGAGGCAGCTCCCTTCTGCAGGTAGCTGGGCAGCCTCTTTGAATGGGCCAGGGCTAGGAGGATCTCAGGGGAAGAGACTGGTGAGCTCCATTGTTGGCCCTTGTGAGCAGATCATTGAGTTGAGCCTTCTCAACTCATTTTCCAGAGGAGGAGACTGACCCCTACAGGGGAAGGGACTTGTCCAAGGTTATGCTGCCAGTTTTCAATCAACAACATTCATTGAGTGCCTGCTGGCTGCCAGGCACTATGCGTCAGACCTAAAGCACCCAGGCCTTCTGACTTCCACTGCTTTTTCCAGTAAAACCCAAGAGAGTGACTCCTTTATTCAGGGGGGTCTTGCCTCCCAGACAAGTGATTTCCCAAGTTAGACTTTGGAGATGGCAGAGGTGGCCTTGTCCCCAAGCTGGACCACTGGGCCAACTCCTGGGACCCTCTGCCCCTGGCTGGCTGAGGTGCTGTGAGTTAGCCCTGTTTTAGTCTGTCCCTTCTTCTAGAGGTTTGTGAGGTCATGAAGAGGGCTTGGGGTCTTGGCCCCGAACTCCCTGGGAGATGGGGGAGGGCTGGTGGGGCTGGGTTTGACCTATGAGGCCCGTAGGCCTGGGTCTCCTCTGACTCTTGGGAGTCTTGTGCAGAATGAAGACCCGGAGGAGGAAGACTTGTGTGCCATCAGCAACAACTGGGCCTTTCAACGGGAGAGTCGGCGGTGGTCCCGCCTGGGCTCCCCAGACCTGGGGGTCTCCCCTGGAGCAGGCCTGTGGGCGGCTTCCAGCCACGAGAGCATACTCACCAACATCAGTGCCACATCCCAGACCAGCCAGGCTGGGAACATGGCTCGGGACACACTGGCTATCATGGTGTCTCCCCCACCAGAGCCCCCAGACCAGGCTGTGGCCCAGCTTGAGTTGCCCACTTGGGCCCCCAGCCCCAGCTCCTTCCTTGGTCTGCCCCAAGACATGGATGGCCCCCCAGATAAGCCCAGGAAGCGCCGTACCCGAAGCTTTCTCCGGCACCTTGACTCTCTTCGGAGGAGGGAGAAGCCGGGAAGCCCTGAGGCCAGGCCAGCCTTGGGGGAGCCGAGTACTCCCGCCAAGGCCGCTGCCCCTGAGAAGCTTGGGAAGGCTTTCTCTTTCCACAGCCGCCGAAGCTTCCTCTCGGCTGGCTTCTATTCCTCCAAGATCCAGGATCCAGACGCAGAGGCTGAGGGGGCTAGGGCTCAGGGCTCAGGGCCCCCACAAGAGTCAAGATGGCAGCAACGGCAGCAGGGTCGCTGGCAGGCCTGCTTGGTGCATGTGCCAGGTGACCACAAGCCAGGCACCTTCCCCCGGTCTCTGTCCATTGAGAGCCTGTGCCCCAAAGAGGGGCACCGCCTAGTGGACTGGCAGAAGCCGGGGAGCTGGGGTCCAGAGAAACGGCGGGGCTCCTGCAGCTCGATGGACAGCCGCCTCAGTGTCTATGACAACATGCCCGAGCTGATGGGCAATGGGGAGGAGCCGAGAGACTCTGAGCCGGAGGCCAACTGTGCCCAACTTGATGACATCCTACAGGACATGTGGGGCCTACAGAAACACGTGGAGCTCTGGTCCCAGGCTGTGTGCCCAGACATGGGACAGCCTAGACAGGAAGAGGAGGACGAAGAAGAAGAAGAGGAGGAGGACACAGATTCAGTTGGAGAGCAGGCCTTCCCCTTTGGCCTGCACCTGGAGGAGGAGCACTCCATGTCTGACATGGGTACTTCTGCCAGTGACTTCGACAGTACTGGAAACTCCCTGAATGAAACTGAAGAAACTGAAATACGAGAACGCCGGGACTCGGGTGTGGGAGCCTCACTAACTAGGCCCTGCAGGTGTGTTACGCGAGGAACCATGGGGACTGAGTATCACAAGGTGTCAGAACCCAGAATGTCAGAGCTGGGAGCTTAGAACAGGGAATGTCAGAGTTGAGAGGGGCCTTAGAACAGGGAATGTCAGAGCTGGGAGGGGCCTTAGAACAGAGAAAATCAGAGCTGGAAGGGGCCTTAGAACACAGAATGTCAGAGCTGGGAGGGGCCTTAGAACACAGAATGTCAGAGCTGGGAGGGGCCTTAGAACAGAGAATGTGAGAGCTGGGAGGGGCCTTAGAACTCAGAATGTCAGAGCTAGGAGGGCCCTTAGTACACAGAATGTTAGAGCTGGGAGGGACCTTAGAACACAGGTCAGGGCTGAAGATCAGGGAATGTCATGTCAGAAGAGGAAGCCCTAATATCGTCCACTCCTCTTATTTTATGGATGTGAGAACTGGTGCCTTGGTTCTCTTAGCCAAACATTAGGGCCCTAGAGGGGGTAAGCTATCACCCTGGGCACAGGAAGTCGGGGGACCTCCAAACCCTCTTCTGACCTCCCCCTTCCTCCCTTTACCCCCACCCATAGCCAGAGATTCCCATTCCCATGAAGACTTCCTTCTTCTAGTACTTTGTTGAAGGGTCGGGGCAGGGGGAGTCAGATGGGATATCCCAAAGTGTCTTGCCTTTCTCACACACTCCAGGGGGGCCCAAGCTGGTACCAAATGAATAGCCACTGAACAGTGGACTCTGGTGCCCTCTAGTGGCCTCAGCCAGAGATGCCTCTGCAGGCTCACTGAATTTTTAATGACATTGGCCAAGGGAAGTTGGGATGGGAGCTGGGGGAAGACTTTTGAGCCTAACTTTCCAAACCTTGGGAATCTGGGCTTGGGAATTGAAAGTGGAGAGCAAATAATGAGTCTATAGCACCTTTACATTGTTGGAAGGTAGAGGTTTAGCCAAGTTTCTGCTTGGTAGATGGGAGGCAGCAGTACAAGAAATAACACTGAATCTGGAGTCCAAGGACCTTCATTAGAATCCCAGCTTTACCACTTATCACCTGTAAGACCTTGGGTGACTTACTTTCCCTTGCTTGGACTCAGTTTCCTCTTCTGTAAAATGAGAGGATTAGACTTAAAAGGCCCCTGGCGTTTCCAGCTCAACATCTAGGATCTAACTTGAACACTGTAGATGGGTCATTAAGGGAGGTGGCATTGACCTTTGACCTCAGGGATGACAAACCACCTTGCCTAGCCGCTTCTTCAGTGGCCCCATCAGAGCCAATATCCTGGATTAGAAAGGACCACCAGATGACCCCAGGGGACATTCAGGTATCATGTGCGAGGCACCCCTGCCTTGAGGGTGCTCACAGTCTAAGAGGGGAATGCCATGTGAGCATGGTACAAATGGGACGGGCACCATTGGAGAGGAATCCAGGCGGGTAGCACCCACCTCCACGCCTGAGCCCTGCTTTTCTCTCTCCCTGCCAGGAAACTCCGCTGGCACAGCTTCCAGAACTCCCACCGGCCCAGCCTCAACTCGGCCTCCCTCGAGCTCAACCGCCAGTCTGTGGCTCAGCTCAACCTCCTTCACAAGGGTTCCCTTCTACGGCTCACAGCCTTAATGGAGAAATACTCTGTGCCCCACAAGCAGACCTGGGCCTGGTGAGCCTCCGGGAGGAGCCCCCAGAATACTGGGTGCAGGGGTACAGGGCCGCCAGGGAGGCGTTTCAGGAAGGTGCACTCCTGGGGAAGAAAGTGGGGCCAACACACGTGTACGTGTCTTTTATGTGGGCAAAATGGGTAAAAGACATGTGTAAATGCGTGACTGAAGTGGTGTTAGCCGCAGGGCGCTGGACTTTTCTCTCAGTTATAGGCAGGTAGCTCCTGCAGATACCAGGCCTCGGCTTTGCCTGACCTCTGAGTGTGGCCTCCCTCCCCTGACAGGTCAGTCCCTAAGTTCATGAAAAGGAGCAAAACTCCCAGCTACCAGGGCAAAAGCGTCTTTGGAGTGCCCCTCCTGGTCCACATGCAGAGGACAGGCCAGCCTCTGCCTCAGAGCATCCAGCAGGCCATGCGTTATCTCCGTAGCCAGTGCCTGGACCAGGTGAGACCTTGGCCCCAGACCCATCTCAGGGTTGTTTCTAAGGCTGAGTTTCCATCGAGTTACCGATGCCCTCTTCGTGGGACGGGAGCTAGCTGAGTGCAAGGGAAGGGGCTGCTCTTGGCCTTGGAGGCCTAGCCCAGCAGAGCCACAGCCCCTCATTCTCCTGGAACTGCCCTTTGCCCATAGCTTGGGATGCCCACAGCTCTTCCCTCAACCCCACTGTCTAGTCTTGGAATCCATTTTCTTCCCCACCTCTATCCTCTCCTGGGCTCCTGTTTGTAGTTTGACGCCTTCCTTAGCCTCTGTCATCTGCCCAAGTCCTCACTTTCTCTGCTCCCCTTCACCCCTCCCCCGCCAGCATGCCCCAGGTCTGAGCCTTCTGGACTTTGACCTCTCCATCTTTGCTGGGCCCCTACTGACCTCACATGGTCCTCCTTCACTCACGTGTTACCTGTTTTTATCATGTCCAGATGTTTTTCTTCCTCTCATAATGTGGCTGGGCCAGGGCTTCCCACTGGATCCCTAGGCTGAGCCTATAGGATGGGGTGAGCATGAAGGGGGGGGCTGGTAGTCCTGCTCGGAGCAGTTGAGGCAAGCAAGGGTCTGCCTAGAGCAGCCTGGGCTGTTGGAGAAGCCCTCCTGAGGCTCAGAGAAGGACTTCTCACCCTTTGCCTCTTCTCCTCTGGCTGGGCCAGGTGGGCATTTTCCGCAAGTCTGGGGTGAAGTCTCGGATCCAGACCCTGAGGCAGATGAACGAGGCCTCCCCAGAGCACGTTGTCTATGAAGGCCAGTCGGCCTATGATGTGGCTGACCTGCTGAAGCAGTACTTCAGGGACCTACCAGAACCCATCTTTACCAGCAAGCTGACCGCCACTTTCTTGCGCCTCTACCAGTGTGAGTGAGCCTGCCTTGACTTACTGCTAGGGGAAGGGCCTCAACATACCCAGGCCAGAGGGCCCTTGGCCAAGGTACTTGCCCATTTCCTTACCTGAAAAATGGGGGGAATAATACTGCCCTGACAGATAGGTCATACAAATGTGATTAGCCCCATTTTACAGATGGGCAAACTTAAGCTCAGAGGAGAAGTAGCATGGCTCTAGGGGAGGGAGAATCAACTGTGAAGATCCCATTTGATGGGCTTCCAGACAGGGTGCTGCAGAGGAGCAGCCCAAAGCTCAGATCTGTCCTTGTAACTTTGGGCCTCCATTTCCTCATCCAAAAAATGAAGAGTGTGGAGTGTGGGATAGTAGAAAGAGGGCTGCATTTGGAGTCAGCTGCTTCCCCTTCCTGGGTCTCAGTTTCCTCCTCTGTAAAATGGGCAAGTTGGATATGCTGGTCTCTAAGGTGCCTCCATCGAGATCCATCCACTGAGCACAAAGTGGGGATGGGAAGGGGTTTGCAAGCAGAGGCTGGGGCTGGGAGGGGGAGGGCCTGGGAGCCAGGCCAGTGGCTCTGGGGAGGGTCACTTGGCCCCTCTTGCCCATCCCAGCAGTTGTCCCAAAGGACCAGCAGCTGTTGGCCGCTCAGGCGGCTGTGGTTCTGCTGCCTGATGAGAACCGGGAGGTGCTCCAGACCCTGCTTTACTTCCTGAGCGACATTGCTGCTGCCCAAGAAAACCAAATGACTGCTGGCAACCTGGCCGTCTGCCTGGCGCCCTCCATCTTTCACCTCAACGTCTCAAAGGATAGCACTTCACCCAGGTTGGGAGCTAGGGCTGGGGTGGGGTGGGCTGCGGCATAGAGCCGTGACCAGATAATGAATGAGAGCAGTCGGTGGGGCAGGAGGGGAGTGTGGGGAGGGGATGGCAGGGCAGGAGCCAACACACTGGATGAGTGCTGAGATACGGGCCACGGAGCTGAGTCTTGAGCCAACCGCTCATCCCCGGAGTCGATGTCTAAACCCAAGTTAAAGCTGCCAGGGTTGGGGTAGGTGCATGGTCACTCCCCAGGGCTGAAGGGGGTGCTCTTCCTGATATGAGAGTAAGGGCATTGGCTGGGAAGATGACTGGTGATGAGGTGAAGCAAGGTCTGGGGCCGGTCGGCTGGTTCCCATGCACTCCCTTGGTCACCAGTCGGGACAGCACAGCTCAGCTCAAGTGAGCTCCCAGTGTGCCAGAGCTGAGTGGGTTAGGTCCCCCAGGGAAGAGGGGGAGGCCTGGTCTCTGCTGGCCCAGGTGAGAAGCAGGGAAGAGCTGGGGCAGGGCAGATGGCGAGATTGCCAGAGTGGATGGGTGGATGGGATGTGCAGGAGAAGGGAGAGGGATCAGGTATTTGAGGGGGGAGGAGTTAAGATACTTGGCCTTGTGGCCTATCTCTAAGGGACCTTGAGTCTGACCTAGAAAGGAATCAGCTGTAGTTCTCAGGCTCACCACAAGGGGTCAGCCTGGCTACCTATGGCATCATGCACAGTGCCTGGATGTCTCTTAGAAGATTTGGGGAGGCGGTGAGGCTCTGCAAACACCCCAGAGCCGACTGTCTGACATGTCCTTAACCGGAGGCCTTCTCTGAGCCTCAGCCTCCTCATCTATAAAATGAGGATAATATGGCTGAGGAGAGCAGGGAACTATTATTTATTTCTTTGTTTGCTCATTTATTTATCTCTTTACTCATTTATTTACTCATTCCTTTGTTTATCTCAGCCAGCCCTCTGACTGGGGAAACTCTCTTTCCCAGTGTTGACTGGCACCTTTTCCACAACTTTGGGTTTTAGAGTTGTCTTAGGAACAGGGGGAAGTCAGAATTGAGCCCAAGGCCATTAAGAGCTAGGGGGGCAGGGCAGTGTCAGGCCAGGAGCTTCGGTCATTTCCCCTTCTGTTCCCTTCTCCAGAGTCATTCCCAGACGTGGCCAGTCGGGCAAGCCAGCCCCAAGAGACCTGAGTGAAAACATGGCTGCCACCCAGGGCCTGTCCCACATGATCACTGACTGCAAGAAGCTCTTTCAGGTAAGGGGCTCGGCCCTGAGACCCTGGGTACTGGATGGGGGACGGAAGCTCTCATGGCAGGCAATGGCAAAGCTGGAGTGTTCCCGTACTAATACTAGAGTTGTGTGATCCCAGATAAGGAGATCTTTACCTCTTGGAGCCTCTGTTTCCTCATCCATAAAATGGGCATCTCAGGGTGTTGATTTGAGGAAAGCATAGACATTAGTGCTAGAAAACTAGAGTTATTACCACATTTTCGGGGGGAGGGAGAGTAACACGGTATACCCTCCCATTCTTCCTCCTCCCCCGATGGTCTGTCTTCATGGATACCTAGCCAGCCTTTTTTCCTGAGTATCCTCACTCTCCACCCTTCTCCTTTTGAGAGCCTTCTTGGTGCCCATCCTGGAGAGAGGGCCCTCAATGTAAGAACTCTTCACCAAACAAGGGTTAGAGAGGCTTGATTATAGGAGATAAAATGAACAATTTTGACCACATAAAATAGAAAAGTTTTTGCACAAACAAAATCAGTGCACTTAGAATTAGAAGGGAAACAATGAACTGGGAAAAAAATTTGCAGCAAATTTGATAAAGCTCTGATATCTATAATGTATAGAGAACTGGCATAAATATATCAGAACAAGAGCCATTCCCCAGTAAATAAATGGTCATAGGATGTGAACAGCCAGTTCTCCAAAGAGAGAAGGCCCTCCCTGCAGAGAGGATGCTGTGAGTGCTTCCTGCTCTCAGGATGGGGTGGGGGACTCTTCCTTGGCTACTCTGGTTCCTACCCTGGTGGCCTTCTGCAGTTTTCCTCTTTTCCCCATGAGAACCCCTTTCTTTTTTCCTTTCTCCACTAAACTGGGCTACCAGAGTGGTTGTGGGATCCACTAATGTTTTGGCTGTTCCCAGGTGCCCCAGGACATGATGCTGCAGCTCTGTAACTCCTACATGGTAAACAAACCCAGCTTCCCTCTCCTGGCTCTTACTGAGCTTCGGGACAAGCCTGGGGACTACCTGGAGGAGAGCGTGCAGAGCTTACTACAGGAGGCTGCTGAGCGATTCAAGGGCTGGCTGAACATGCCTGGGCCGCAGCACACAGAGCTAGCCAGTAAGAAGGTCAGTGTAGCCATGGTGCCAGCAGGGGCAGGGAGGGAGGGACTTCCCTGGCCAGCCCAGCCCACCAGCCTTAGCGGCAGGCTGGGCCCATTCCCTAGTGGTCAGACCAGCTTGGGGTCCCCATCAGTGAACTGGTGCCTACAGCTCCAGGAACGCAATAGTAATGATGAGAGGGATAAGAAGTGGGCCTATATCAGTTTCGTTGACATGGATAACTCCCAGATGGGGAAACTCCCTCCACCCATGCAGGTCAGTATCTTCTCTGGAACCTGTGGTCTTAAAGAATTCCCTGAGGCACTAAGATGGTAAATGACTTGCCATAGTCACTGTATATCAAGGGTGGGACTTGAACCCAGGACTTCCTGGCTTAGAGGCTGCCTCTCTTATCCACTTTGTCATGCCAACTCTCAATAACAACAACAACAACAACAATAATAATAAGCCTCTCTCCAGTGCTTTAAGGTTTGCAAATTATATATCATATTATTATTGAATTTGCTCCTTACAACCCTGTGAGGTGGGTGCTGTTATTGTCCCCATTTCACAGATATGGAAACTGAGGCTGACTTACTCAGGGTCACACAGCTAGTAAGTGTCCAAGGTAGGATTCAAACTCAGGTCTTCCTTATTCCCAAGTCCTGTACTTTCTCCATCAGTCCCCAAGAAATAAGGCAGTAGGGCTACTCAGGAAATCAGTCAGTAGGAATCGGAGAACAAACGTCCCATCTACTCCCTTAACAGAACATTGGAGATATATGAGATCTTAAAGAGCATATAACTACCTACCCACTCGTGCTATGGGGGGGGCGGGGGCGAGGAGGAACTGAGGCCCAGGAAGGGGAAGGACCCTAGGTCATACAAGTTAGGATGTAGAGTATCCTGAGTATGGGTCAGAGGTCGGGGGGCGTCTGGAAGGGATTGGGCAAGAAGGAAAGGAGGGCAGAGAGATCAGGTTCAAATTGGCCTGGGAGAGGGGGCTATGGGGGATCTTAGGGTGGTGACCACCACAGGCAGGAAGGCTGCTGGGGGGGCTGGGGAAGGAGGGCAGCATCTCTTCAGGCCCAAGGTAAGTGGGTGGTAGGAGCAGGGAGGGCACTGGGACTCCTCCGAGTGTCCCCGTAGGTCCGGGATGGCCACCCCCTGCGCCTGTGGAAAGTGACAACAGAGGTGGCAGCCCCACCTGTGGCGGTCCTGCATCGGGTGTTACGTGAAAGGGCCATGTGGGATGAAGACCTGCTGCGGGCTCACGTGCTGGAGTCCCTGGCCCCTGGTGTAGACGTCTACCACTATGTCACAGACAGCATGGCCCCGCAGCCCTCCCGAGACTTCGTGGTGCTCAGGTGAGCTTCCGGCCTGTGGTGGGGGTGGGGGTGGTGGGCCAGGCTGCCTTTGGCTCATTGCCCCTTCCTCCCCAGGATGTGGCGCTCAGACCTACCCCGAGGGGGCTGCCTGCTTGTTTCTCAGTCTTTGGAGCCGGAGGAGCCAATTCCAGAGTCTGGGGTCCGAGCCATGCTGCTCACTTCTCAGTACCTCATAGAACCCTATGGCCCAGGGCACTCTCGGCTAATCCACATTTGCAGGGCCGACCTCCGGTAAGAGTCCCATCTCTGGCTGCTCCCCCCAGATCCCCTGGCCCTGAGATCCTCCAGCCCCCCTCCCTGCCTCTCCCCTGGCTCTGAGATCCTCCAGCCCCCCTCCCTTCCTCTCCCCTGGCTCTGAGATCCTCCATCCCCACTCCCTTCCTCTTCCCTGGCCCTGAGATCCTCCAGCTCCCATTCCAGAGCCTTGCCTCTGGCCCTGGCTTGCTCTCTCTTCCTCTTCTGTGTGTCCCTGAGTCCTCATTGGAGTCAAGGCTTCCCCTCAGCTCAAACAGAGTACCTTAGGGAGAAGCTGGAAACATTCTGCCTGCTCAACTTGCTGCTTTTATTTCCCCAGGGGCCATTCTCCTGACTGGTATAACAAGGTGTTTGGGCACCTGTGTGCCATGGAGGTGGCAAGGATCCGAGACTCCTTCGCCACCATGCGGCCCATCCCTGAGACGAAGCTGTGAACAGGTGGGGCCAGGCAGGGCCCAGGGATGCTCTCATTTGGGTCTTCCCAGCATAGCTAGCTGAAGAGAGCAAACAAATGTGGGCCCTGACCTTGGCCTGCCAAGGGCCTCACCACCCAGTGTGGTCTATGTGTGACTTGCCCCCCCCCTTTCCTTTACCCCATCCCCCGCCCCTGACTGCCTCATCTTGAGGTATATAGAATGGATGGGCTGGAGCAGCCGTGACAACTGCAGAGTGCTGGGATTCAGCCTTCACCCTATTTACCAACCAGAAAGTGCCAAGCACCCAGTGGAGGAGCCTGCCCTGAGAAAGGAAGAGAGGGAGAGGCAGAGAGAGAGAGAGAGAGAGAGAGAGAGAGAGAGAGAGAGAGAGAGAGAGAGAGAGAGAGAGAGAGAGAGAGAGAGAGAGAGAGAGAGAGAGAGAGAGAGAGAGAGAGAGAGAGAGAGAGAGAAAGAGAGAAAGGAAGAGAGAGCGAGAGAAAGAAAGGTGGAGAGGGAGAGAAAGAGAGTGTGTGTGTGTGTGTGTGTGAGAGAGAGAGAGAGAGAGAGAGAGAGAGAGAGAGAGAGAGAGAGAGAGAGAGAGAGAGAGAGAGAGAGAGAGAGAAAGTACGAGCAGATTGTAGGAAGAGAGGGGGGAGGTCTGCCTGGGCTGGGCTAGACTGGGTGCTTTTGACTTTGTGTCAATCAGCGCAGTGCCAGCTCAGACTGGCTTAAGAGTCCCAGGGTCTCTCTCTGGCAGGCACCAGCCTGGGGAGGGTTGAGGGGGCACCTTCCTGTGGCCTTCTTCCTCCCTCCAGTGCCCTACCCTATTGCCTGGAGCTTTCTCCCCACAGGACTGCACCCTCACCACCAGGGCCTGGGTGGGATGTCTCCTCCTAGAACAGAGCCAGGCTATCAGAAAGGATTTTGTCCAGTGTTTGCCTGACATCCCTGACAAATGGTTATCTAACCCCTCTGGGAGGGCCCCCCTCTTCCCTAGGCCTGTAGAGCCCACTATCCTGTGAGGTTACCCATGGACTTCCCTTGGTACAGTTCAGCTTGTTACAAGGTTTTCCGTGATATCAAGCTCAATTTGAGAGGCGGTTTGGCATATAGGGAGTCAGGCCTTGGAGCCAGGAAGGCCTAGATTCCTGTCCTGTATCTGATCCGTCCTGACTTGTGATCCTGGGCAAGTCACCTGACCTCTCACTGAGACAGGTGGCAATCTGCCCTGGTGGAGAGACTCTCCTCAGCTGGAGGAAACTTCCCCTCTGCCAGTGACACCACAGATCCAATCCCAGTCACCTGGCCATGAGGCTATTGATTTCCTCCTAAGTACAAGTCTATGTTAAGTGCCACCAGGTGAGCAATGGTGTCTGGGCTGCTCAGCCAGCCCCAGATGGTATCGCCTGGCAGCAGCAGCTCATTCCACTTGCTGCCCCAGTGGCTAGTGAGAAAATTATAGCCAGCTTTACATGCCATAGCAAAAGCAGAAGAGGAAACGAAAGATCCCCTGGGCCTCAGCCCTAGCCCAGCCTTCACCTGGCCCTGGGCCCTCATTTCAGCTGATTGGAGCAGACCAGCATTCCCAGAGCACCAGGTGGTAGCGTGATCACACAAGTAGCCTGACAAACCAGCTTAGCCAGCATTGTTTAAGCACTTACTGTATGCAAGACACTGACTGTGCTACTCAGCTGGGACTTCATCTCCAAGTTAGTGATAGAAAGGACCTTAGGGATCAGCTGGATGGGGGGAGGGGACAGCCTTACCCAAGGTCCTTAATAGCTAGTTAAGGGCAGAGCTGGGGCTCGAACTCAGGTCTCCCAAACCTCAGGCCAGTGTTCTCTCTTGCCTTTCTTCTGATCTAGCCTAACCACTCTTGTCTATCTTTGGCATTTCAAATCCCACGCCTTGGATTTTGCTGCCTTTTTTTTTGTAGAAGTAATTGGGATGGGGGGGAGGGGGGAGGGGGGAGGGGACATAGCTATTAATCTAATTAATTACAGTTTTTAAGCCTGTCTCTTTTGTACCTATAAATACTGTACAGTCGGGATATATATTAATATATACATATGTATATGCATATCTCTATACATATATACACATACATATTGTGTATATATATCACGATATGTATTTGTGGTCTTGGGGGGGCAGTGGCATGAGGTGCTTAGGACAGGCAGGTATGGGGAGCACAAAGACCCTTCACCCGGCAAATAAAGTATTCGTGAGCATTATTGTGTGTGGCTGTCCTCCTTTTAGCAGAGGGGAGGGTGGGGGAGCCAGAGTGAATGGCTGGAGGTGGCCCAGCTTTGGAATGGGCCATAGGCATGTGTGTGGTGGACGGCACCTAGTGTGTCAGCACAAATATTTGTTGAAGTCAAGAAGATGAGGGTTGGACTGGGCTGGCCTGGGGGCTCGTGGACTACCCTTCCTCCCTTCTGGGGAGAGAAGAGATGGCTTGGGGACAGTGTCCTATGTATGTGTGAGTGTGGCTTGGGGAAAAGGATGAGAATTTGAATGGAAATTCGGACGGTGGAGCTGAGGACTGGACTTCTCTGTTAGAGGAAGTCAGCCCACTCTACTGTTCTCTTTCAGCATCCCCTAACCCAGGGGTGGGAAACCTGCAGCCTCAAGGCCACGTGTGGCCTTCTAGGTGCTCGGGTGCAGCCTTTTGACTGAGTCCAAGTTTGACAGAACAAATCCTTTGATTAAGGGGATTTGTTCTGTGAGGTTTGGCTTCAGTTAAAGGGCTGCACTTGAGGACCTAGGGGACCACGTGTGGCCTCCAGGCCACAGGTTCCCCACCCCTGCCCTAATCTCAGAGGAGTCCAGCTACTTTTTCCACTCACTCTTCTGTGGCCCATGAACATCTTTCCCACCATTGACCGTTGTTCTCACCAGTTCAGTTCCTGTTACCAGCTTATGGTACCTTGGGGCAAGCACTATTATTTAAATCACAGTTATTTGAATTGAAGTTATTTGAATTGAAGATGCTAGAAATGATTAAATGACCACCACAGGACTGAAGGTAGTTATTGAAGGGGAGGTGTGAAATGAGCAAGTCCATTCAGGGCCTGGGCTGACCCTGGGCCTCAGCTTCTTGCATTCATGAGATGGTCTGCAGGCCTCAGTAATCAGAATTTGTGGTGACTGAGGACATTGTCCCAGGACTGAGCTGGCTTCATCACCCCAGCTCCCTACTCTCTAATAGATTCTGCAGACACACTCTCATGACCCCAGTTATATCCTTCAGAACTACCTGGGCTAGGCCCCAGCTAGCCTTTTCTTTCTTTCTTTCTTTCTTTCTTTCTTTCTTTCTTTCTTTCTTTCTTTCTTTCTTTCTTTCTTTCTTTCTTTCTTTCTTTCTTTCTTTCTTTCTTTCTTTCTTTCTTTCTTTCTTTCTTTCTTCTTCCTTCCTTCCTTCCTTCCTTCCTTCCTTCCTTCCTTCCTTCCTTCCTTCTTTCTTTCTTCCATCCTTCCTTCCACTGGGGTTAAATGATTTGCCCAGGGTCACACAGCTAGTAAGTGTTATATGTCTGAGGCTGGATTTGAGCTCGGGTCCTCCTGACTCCAAGACCGATGCTCTATGCACTTTCCCTCCAGCTAGCCTTTCTTATCCCTCCCCAGTCTCCAGAGACCTTTCTTTTCTGCCCTCAATGTTCCCATCCTCATGCTTCCAACTGTCGCAGGAGATCCAAAACCGAATCAGGCTGGAGGATGGAGGAGGCCCCTCTACCCCCAGGTCTGCTGATGGGGTCAAATGTGGAAGGAGCAAAAAGAAAGCAGGTGGATAAGGAGTGGTGGTAGAGAGGCTGTGGCTAGGCAGGAGGCCCCAAGCCTCAACCTGGGATCTCCAGCTGCAGTTTCAGAAGGAAGGTGGGCCAATGGGCACAAAGTGGTAGTGAAGGGATTGAGGAAGAATCCCTGGGGAATAAAGGCTTCTATGGAGAAGTCACTGGGCTTAGAAAGGACCCAATGGGGATATGGAGGACCTAGAATATGTAGCATAGGTGGCCTAAATGGCATACTACAGGGCAACACAACAACCCCTCTCACACCAGGCTGGGTGGGCAACAAGTTGATGTGTTGATAAATGTCAGAGCTTGTAGATTACCTAGTTCAACCCTTTCATTTTTTGGAAGGGGAAACAGGCATAAAGAGGGGAAACCTTAAGGTCACATAGCTGGTGGGGAGGGGGCCACAGAGTAATCACTATAGAGAAGGTAGTATGTGTCTACTTCCTAAAGGGCACAGCCTTCTCTTGGGGGAGGGAAAGATTTTTAAAATTTAAATTTTTTTTTTAAATTTGTAGGCAATTGGGGTTAAGTGACTTGCCCAGGGTCACAGAGCTAGTCAGTGTCAAGTGTTTGGTCTGAGGCCAGATTTGAACTCAGGTCCTCCTGACTTCAGGGCCAGTGCTCTATCCACTGGGCCACCTAGCTGCCCCAAAGGGAGGATTTATTAAGTGCCTACTGTGTGCCAGGCAGGCAGCTAGGTGGCACTGCAGTGGATAGAGTGCTGGGCCTAGAGTTGGGAAGACTCATCTTCCTGAGTTCAAATCTGGCCTCAGACACTTAATAGCTGTGTGACCCTGGGCAATTCACTTTACCCTGTTTGCCTCAGTTCCTCATCTGTCAAATGAGTTGGAGAAGGTAATAGCAAACCACTCCAGTATGTTTGCCAAGAGAACCCCAAATGGGGTCATAGAGAGTCAGACATGACTGAAACAACTGAACAACAACACGGATAATATGAATGAAAAACAACAGTGAGAGACAGCTGCATTCTGATTCTGTGATCAGTCTCAGTTCCAGAGGACCAATGATCAGACCCATTTCCCTCCTCTCAGAAGAGATGTGGGGGAGGTCAGGCATACAATGTTGCATATGGCATCAGAATTTACTCTCTTAGTTGGTTTTGATGAATTATCTTTCACTGATGAACTATCTTTTTTGAGGGAAGGTTCAATGGGATGGTGGGAAAGGCATATTTGGATTGTGTGAAAAAACAGAAGGCCTCAATAATTATAACACACACACACATGCACACACACACACACATGCACACACACACACGAAGGATCAGAGAAGCCATCTAGTCAAATTCCCCCAAATGAACAAACATTTATTAAACACCTACTATGTGCTAAGCACTGGGGATACAAAGAAAGGCAAGCATCAGTCCCTGCCCTCAAGGAGCTTATAGTCTAATGGGGAAGATGTACACAACTCAGTACATACACAATACTATAGAGGAAGTAAAAGGTAGCCTTGGGGGAGGCCCTAGCAGTTGGAGGGAACTTCTTTAGAAAGTGGGCCTTAAGCTGATTCTTGAAGGAAGCCAGGGATTCTAACCTTCTTGATGATCTTATCAGGTTCTATGGATTCAATTAGATTG